TTCAGAATTGTGGGTACAAAAACTGACTTGAAGCTTCAATATTTTATACAGAGTCAACTATTAGAATGACAGGAAACTTCTCAATAGCAATAATAGGATCTAAAGTACAGGAGAGTAAAAAGAAAAATTATTTCCAATCTTGAATATCAAACCAAACTACCAATTTAGTTTGATATAGACAGATTTTTTCAGACTTACAAAAACTTAATTAATTTACCTCTATTGTGCCCTTTCTAGTAAAGTTACTGGAGAATGGGTTCTATAGAAATAACAGAGTTAGCCAAAAAGAGAAAGACAAGGTTTGCTAGTATTCTTTGTTTGTTTCTTCAGTTTATTGTCCATCTATCCACAAGAGACTGACCACAATGGACTACATGACCTGAGCTCTCTTGCCACTGATTTGCAACTGGACTTGAGCAATAGGGGCTTCCCAGGTGACGCCAGTAGTAAAGAACCTGTCTGCCAATGCAGGAGACATAAGAGACGTGGATTTGACCCCTGGGTCGGGAAGATCCCCGGGAGGAGGATATGGCAACCCACCCCAGTATTCTTGCCTAGAGAATTCCCAGGGAGAGAGTAGCATGGCAGGCCATAGTCCACAGGATCGCAAAGAGCTGGATATGACTGAAGTGGCTGAGCACGCACACACGTACTTGACCAATAGAAGGCTTCCCTGGTGGCTCAGTTGATAAAGAATTCACCTGCAATGCAGGAGGCCCAGGTTCAGTTCCTGGATTGGGAAGCTCTCCTGGAGAACGAACGGCAACTCACTCTCATATTCTTGACTGGGAAGTCCCATGGACAGAGAAGCCTGGCGGGCCCCAGTCCATGGGGTCGGAAGAGTCGGACACGACTTAGTGACTAAATTACACTGACCAATAGAGATGCTGGCAGAAGGTCAGGATGAAGAAAGTGAGATGGTAATATTTATTTCCCATGTTTTCTCCCTGCTGGGCATCAGTTGGACAGAGGCTGTATTCTACCTAAGGCTTTGACTTTCTGTGGGTGGCCTTCTCCCATGGCTCTAGCTCTTACAGGTCCAAGTAACAGTTTCCTCCCTTTGCTACTGTGGAGTTCTTCTCCCACTGTGTAGCAGATCTAGAGAGCAACCAAGCCAGACGCGAATAGGTCAAAGGCTCTGGATGAAAACAACCGAATTCTTAATATACTTGTAGGTGTTGAGGAAGTCGGTATATTGTCACCCTCCTTATTTAACTTATATGCAGAGTATATCATGCAAAATGCCAGACTGGATGAAGCACAAGCTTGACTTTCTGTGGGTGGCCTTCTCCCATGGCTCTAGCTCTTACAGGTCCAAGTAACAGTTTCCTCCCTTTGCTACTGTGGAGTTCTTCTCCCACTGCGTAGCAGATCTAGAGATCAACCAATCCAGACGCAAATAGGTCAAAGGCTCTGGATGAAAACAACCGAATTCTTAATATACTTGTAGGTGTTGAGGAAGTCGGTATTTTGTCACCCTCCTTGTTTAACTTATATGCAGAGTACATCATGCAAAATGCCAGACTGGATGAAGCACAAGCTGGAATCAAGATAGCCGGGAGAAATATCAATCACCTCAGATATGCAGATGACACCATCCATATGGCAGAAAGTGAAGAAGAAATAAAGAGCCTCTTGATGAAAGTTAAAGAAGAGAGTGAAAAAGATGGCTTAAAACTCAGTATTCAAAAAATTAAGATCATGGCATCTGGTCCCATCACTTCATGGCAAATAAATGGGGAACCAATGGAAAAAGTGACAGACTTTTTATTTTGGGGGGCTCCAAAATCACTGTGGATGGTGATTGCAGCCATGAAATTAAAAGACACCTGCTTCTTGGAAGAAAAGCTATGACAAACCTAGACAGCATATTAAAAATCAGAGACATTACTTTGCCAACAAAAGTCTATATGGTCAAAGCTATGGCTTTTCCAGTAGTTATGCATGGATGTGAGAGTTGGACCAGAGGAGACTAAGAGCTGAAGAATTGATGCTTTCACACTGTGGTGTTGGAGAAGACTCTTGAGAGTCCCTTGGACTGCAAGGAGATCAAACCAGTCAATACTAAAAGAAATCAATCCTGAATATTCATTGCAAGGACTGATGCTGAAGCTGAAGCCCCAATACTCTGGCCACCTGATGTGAAGAACTGACTTATTGGGAAATTCCCTGATGCTGGCAAAGATTGAATGCGGGAGGAGAAGGGGATGACAGAGGACGAGGTTGTTGGATGACATCATTGACTTAATGGACATGAGTTTGAGCAAGCTCAGGTAGTTGGTGATGGATAGGGAAGCCTGGCGTGCTGTGGTCTATGGGGTCGCAAAGAGTTGAACACGACTGAGTGACTGAACGACGTATTGAGGAAAGAGATACAAAGGTTGGGAGCAGATCTGAATTAGTGTCAAGACCATAAAAAGTAAGAAGATGGAAAAGAAAAAAGTACAGATATTAAATCCAGGAAGAAAACAAAAAGTTGTGCTGAGAAGGAAAAGTAATTGTAATATGCTACATAGTTCAGCTGTAGCACTCATATAATGATAATAATTTAACTAAAATCAGTCTAACCAAAATTACCATATGACTTACTGGGAATAGAGGTAGGTAAGAAATGGTGTGTGGAGGTTGGTGAGAGCCAGTGATGGTGGTGGTAGCAAATGAGAGTTACATCCTCATCTTCCTCAGTGGGAAGTCAGTAAATAATACCTAAAACTTAAAAACCAAAGAAACCACAGAATAATATAAATAGAAGAAGTAATCTATAAGTAGATTATTTAAAGTTATACCAAAAGAATCAACTAGAAGAGGTAAAAAGTGTCATCTCTGGGAGAAGGGAATAGTGAAGTGGAGAATTATTCACAGTGTTTTGCTTTAAAAAAAAAATGATTTACTTTTGGCTGTGCTTGGTCTCTGTTGCTGTACTTGGGCTTCTCATTGCTACGGCTTCTCTTGTGGAGCATGGGCTCTAGGGTGCTTGAGCTTTGTAATTCCAATTCCCAGGCTCCAGAGCACAGGCTCTGTTGTGGCGCACAGGTTTAGCTGCTCCATCACAGTAGGATCTTCCCAGACCAGGGATCCAACCCATGTCTCNGTTTCTCATCCAGTATACTTTTTGAAACTAGCTTAACTGAAAATATAAATTTATTGTGATGAATATTTGTATCCTTAGTAATGCTGAAAGCTCAGCTTTTCTGTACACCGGTGCATAATGAATCTCAGAGACAAGAGTTTTGGGTGAAGTAGAAAATGATAGGCTTCCCTGGTAGCTCAGTAAATCGTAAAAAAAAAAAAAAAAAAAAATCTAGGAATCAGGAGGTAGAGGACAGGAAGACTTTGTTTTGGGGTAGCTGAAGACCCTCCAGTGACAGAGAGGGGGAGCAGATAGAATCTGCACCCAGGGAAGCTCAAAGTAGAAATAATCAAAGACACAAACAAAACAGGCTGAACTGTTCTAGACATCAAGAGGTAACCCCATAGGGAGGAGCCCTGGATTGTACAGAGAGCCAGGTTCCTTTAGTTCGGCCTCAAATCTGCTGCCAAGCTCTTGGCAACTAAAAACCCAAACTGGGACCTGAGCTGTTACATAGTCCTTATGATCAGAGAGAATTATGGAAAGTTCCTCAGGGGAGGCGGAAGAGCTTTTCTTAGCAGTATAATCTCAAAGAAATATCTCATGTGGGTCTTTTAGAGGAGACACTCGGTGATGTAGGTGACAGACAAGACCCTAGGAAGTATAGGGAAGAGTTGCCTGGGGCTTCCTTTGACAAAAGCCCGAGGCAGAGAGCTGTACAGTGGTTAACATAAGAGCTAGTAGCCTGGACGTGGGGCTTGATCAGAGAGGTGCCCATGGATGACTGGGAGTGACTAATATCAAAGACAGGAGAATATGTTTTTTAAAATCTGAGAAACATGGAGACTGGTGAGAACAGCAAATGAAGCAGATTTTGGGAGCAGTTTTAAAGCTAGAAAAGTAAAGCAAGAAAGTGAGAGGAGCATCCTGTGGGTTTTAGGACAACCAGGCCGAGGAATTGATCTACAGTTTAGATAGAAAGAGCTCTGCTTCCCCAAGGACTAGAGAAAGACAAGCAAAGCCCCAGGTAACCAGAAACTAGTCACTGAATGCTTGAGCCTGCTGTCTTGGGAATAAAGCACAAGGCTCAGGATGGCTTAATTGTGTCCTGTGTCCTTTCTCAACGTATTATTATGCCCAGAGCTTCTAAGTTTGGCTGAAATGTTGTCATGCCTTTGATGTGCTTGCATTTTAAAGGAAGATTTGAGAAAATAGCCTTAATCTTAAAGGTGCTGTGGAAGCTAAGAGGAGGCCAAGTTTTATCCTAATTTGGAGATCAGAGAGGCTTTTGGGTTTAAGGCTTCAATGAGGTGGAGGATGTCAACACTGGTGGTAGCACAGACAGTCCAGGATTTGGGAACAGGAAAGGTTACAGTAGGGGCATGGTCAGGTATGGCCAGAGCATCAGCTGTTTGAAGGAAGCTGAGAGATAAGAATAGAAACCAAAGGCATGCTTTGGAGGGTCTTCAGTGCCAGACCAGACAGCAGCAGGTATCTGGTGGCTGGGGCCAGCTCTCAGGGACAAGGATAAGGCTGCAAATTCAAAAGTAGGGTGGTAGTGGTGGTATATGTGTGTTAAGAATGAGACTTCTCTCTCCTCCTTTCCATTGCCTAAATACCATGTCTAATGTCTTTAGCCCTACTACAATCTCCTTAACAGCTGTTAATAATCCTGGAATTCACACTATGAGTCCAGGCACTGTACTGGGTGCCTTACATTTCTTATCTTTTGTCAATGAAATGGGTATTGTTTTATTACAATTTTAAAGGAAATGAAGGCTAATAAAATTTGGGCATTTTGCTCAAGGTCACAGAGCTATAAGGATGAAACTAGGTTCAAAACCCAGCCCCTTGCTTTCCATTCATTATTAGCACTTTAATGGCTTCCTTAGAGCCAGAACCAACTATTTTTTTATTTTTATTTTTTTAGTATTCTCACTGAAGCTAAAGATCGGTTCAGAGAAAGTCCTCAAAATGTTCCTCTTGGGCCTCTGACTGCCACAGTAGGATGCTAGGAAGACTGGCTTGGCTCAGGTAAGAGGGACTACTTCCCTGGAGACAGGATGGGGCCCAGTTGTGAGGGGTCTCCCCATCTGTTTTCTCTACCCCCTCCCAGGCCAGGAAGCTTCACAAGGACACTTTGAGGTCTTTCTTCTGGGGTCAGGGCTTAGAAAGGCAGGTGAGTGACTGCCTGCTTCCTGGTGGGAGTGTGGGAGGGGGCCCAGCTCTGCTCTTGGCTTCTAGACCTCTAGTGAGAGCAGAGACTAGGCCATGACAGTACACTTTAACTCCTCTGGTGGCTCAGATGGTAAAGAATCTGCCTCCAGTGCAGGAGATCTGGGTTCAATCCCTGGACTGGGAAGATCCCCTGGAGAAGGGAATAGCAACCCACCCCAGTATCCTTACCTGGACAATTCCTTGGACAAAGGAGCCTGGTGAGCTATAGTCCATAGGGTTGCAAAGAGTCGGACATGACTGAAAGTGGTTAACACTTTCACTTTCATAGTTGATTTACAATATTATATTACCTTCGGATATAGAGCATAGGGATTCAAAATTTTTGAGGTTATTCTCTACTTAAAGTTATTACTAAATATTGGCTATATTCTCTATACTGTACAATATATCCTTATATCCTATTTATTTTTTATATATAGCAGTTTGTTCTTTAACTCTTGAGTGCAGTGAGAGAACTATGACCTCCATGGGGCTAAGTTGATGCGGCTGAGATTTTGGCAGTCAAAGGTTCACATCAGTGAACACATGAGTGCTGGAATGTCCTGCTTTAGTTCCTGAGTCAGGAAGGGGGTGGGAGTCAGTGGTACAGAGTTCTCAGGATAATTCCTACTCCCTTGTAGGAAGCCTGGACACTGGGCTAGCCTGAAGTCACGCAGTAGGCAATTACACAGGTTTTCTCCCTACCTTCTATTATGGTGTCCAAAATTTCATTATTAGAAGTCTATATACTTTCTGCCTTTTGAACGTCCTATTAAAATGCAGCTCCCCATGGCAAAGACTATATATATGTTAAGTACCTATTAACTGACTTCTCACCTAGGAATATCTGAGAGAAATAATTATGGGAAACTAGAGTAAGAGCTTTAAGGGGAAAGGATGGAGGTGGACTTGAAGAATCGGGTTACTAACAGCAATAGAAGAGGAAAGATAGTGAATGAAGAGTTTCAAGGCACTTAGTGACAGCTATACATAACCATGTCAGTGAAAACAGGTTCTAGAGTTTAAATAGAACAAAATGCATTCATTAAAACAAAGCCAGGGATAGCTAGGGCATCATTTACCTATCCATCCACCCGTACTTCAAGCCTTTAACAAGGGCTTACTTTATGCCAGTACTGGGCCTGTTGCTCAAAGAGTTACTTAGATGATTTAGACATGATCTCTTTCCTCTAGGAGTTTCAAGTTTGATAGCAGAAGAGATATGATATATGTAAAAATTATCTCTAAACAAGATAGTGTTAAGGTTCACAAAACAGAGACAGGTAAAGCACTCCAGGAATTGTGAGTTGGGCAAGCCCAGCCACCCTTGGCAAAACTTCCTACAGGAGGTAGCATCTGAGCCAGACCTTGAAGAATGGGTGGGATCCTAGAATGTGGAGGTCAATGAAGGACATCAGATGTAGGAAACACATGAAGAAAGAAAAAGAGACGGGAAATGTCAGGGCATACTGGGGGCTGGGAAGTGCCTGTGTAACTTCACAGAGCTTATGAAAGGAAGATCAGAGATAAAGCTGGAAGGACCTCAGCCTTGACTCTAAGGGACATGGAAGTTTGGTTCAGGATGGACTCTGTTCCCAGGAAGGAGCTGTGTTGCTGTTAGGCCTGGGGAAGGTTGAGAAGGGCTAGTGATGGTGGCAGGAATTTGTGAGACAGAGAGTATAATGAAAGGGAGAAAGGAAGGGTGCTTAGAGTCATACAGACCCCAGTGGAATTCTCTGCTTGTATTTTTGCTTTGCTGAGAAATTTAGAGCAAGATAGTCAGTTTTCATTCCAACCCCAAAGAAAGGTAATGTCAAAGAATGCCCAAACTACCACACAATTGCACACATCTCACATGCTAGTAAAGGAACGTTCAAAATTCTCCAAGCCAGGCTTCAGCAATATGTGAACCGTGAACATCCAGATGTTCAAGCTGGTTTGAGAAAAGGTGAGGAACCAGAGATCAAATTGCCAACATCTGCTGGATCATCAAAAAAGCAAGAGCGTTCCAGAAAGACATCTATTTCTGCTTTATTGACTATGCCAAAGCCTTTGACTGGGTGGATCACAATAAACTGTGGAAAATTCTGAAAGAGATGGGAATACCAGACCACCTGACCTGCCTCTTGAGAAACCTGTATGCAGGTCAGGAAGCAACAGTTAGAACTGGACATGGAACAACAGACTGGTTCCAAATAGGAAAAGGAGTACGTCAAGGCTGTATATTGTCACCCTACTTATTTAACTTATATGCAGAGTACATCATGAGAAATGCTGGGCTGGAAGAAGCCCAAGCTGGAAGCAAGATTGCTGGGAGAAATATCAATTACCTCAGATATGCAGATGACACCCTTATGGCAGAAAGTGAAGAAGAACTAAAGAGCCTCTTGATGAAAGTGAAAGAGGAGAGTGAAGAAGATGGCTTAAAGCTCAACATTCAGAAAAGTAAGATCATGGCATCTGGTCCCATCACCTCATGGCAAATAGATGGGGAAACAGTGGAAACAGTGTCAGACTTTATTTTTCTAGGCTTCAAAATCACTGTGGATGGTAATTGCAGCCATGAAATTAAAAAGACGCTTGCTCTTTGGAAGGAAAGTTATGACCAACCTAGACAGCATGTTAAAAAGCAGAGACATTACTTTGCCAACAAAGGTCCATCAAGTCAAGGCTATGGTTTTTCCAGTAGTCATGAGAATTGGACTATAAAGAAAGCTGAGCGCCGAAGAATTGATGCTTTTGAACTGTGGTGTTGGAGAAGATTCTTGAGAGTCCCTTGGACTGCAAGGAGATCCAACCAGTCCATCCTAAAGGAAATCAGTCCTGTTGTTCACTGGAGGGACTGATGTTAAAGCTGAAACTCCAATACTTTGGCCACCTGATGTGGAGAGCTGACTCATTTGAAAAGACCCTGATGCTGGGAAAGATTTGGGGCAGGAGGAGAAGGGGATGACAGAGGATGAGAGGGTTGGATGGCATCACTGACACAATGGACATGGGTTTGGGTGGACTCTGGGAGTTGGTGATGGACAGGGAGGCCTGGTGTGCTACGATTCATGGGGTTGCAAAGTCAGACACAACTGAGCAACTGAACAGAACTGAACTGATTCAGTCTGCTGTATCTTCACTTTTCCCATCTCTAAGTCTTTTTCTTAAATGTTTAACATAATGAGGCCTAAAACATTTTCAGAACTTCTGGGGCTGCAGGCTATGGCTCTGTGTATGTGTGTGCGCATGTGTAAGTCATTCAGTCATGTCCGATTCTTTGCGACCCCATGGACTGTAGCTTGCCAGGCTCCTCTGTCCATGGGTTCTTCAGGCAAAAATACTGGAGGGGGTGCTATTCCCTTTTCCAGGGGATCTTCTTGGCCCAGGGGTTGAACCCAGGTCTCCTGCATTGCAGGCAGATTCTTTTATCATCTGAACCACTGCTCTGTGGCACTCTTCAAATTTATTAGCACTTGTGAGTCCCAAAGGGGGCAGAAGCAGTGTCACTGTCAACTCTCCTGGGCCCTGTTTGACAGACAATGGGCACATATCTCTGAGTGGTGGAAGAGACATGATTAGCAGGGGACAAAGTCATTTTTCCCACTCATGCTCTAGATCTTGAATATATAGCAAAGTTCTGGTCTTAGAGTGGGGATTGAGCCTGGACAGGGCTTCCCTGATAGCTCAGTTGGTGAAGAATCCACCTGCAATGCAAAAATTGGGAAAAAAACCTAAATATCCAAGAAGAAATTGATAAAGTAAATTATGGAAGAGTTAGGCTCTGAAATACTCTGAGGCCATGGTATTGATCTATGTTTATTTATGAAGTAATATCATTTTAATAGAGTCAATTAAGATTTTCTTACAGCATGTCCCAGATGGCACTAGTGGTAAAGAACCCACCTGCCAGTGCAGGAGACAAAAAGAGACACGGGTTCGATCCTTGGGTTCGGAAGATCCCCTGAACGTGGGCAAATAGCAACCCACTTCAGTATTCTTGCCTGGAGAATCCCATGAACAGAGGAGCCTTCAGGCTACAGTCCATAGGGTCGCAAAGAGTCAGACACGACTGAAGTGATTTAACATGCATGAAGGTACAGTATAAGCTCATTACTGATATCTGTATGTTACTTTCTACTACAGTTAATCTAAAGAAGGAAATGGCAATCTACTCCAGTATTCATGCCTGGAAAATCTCATGGACAGAGGAACCTAGTGAGCTACTGTCTATGGGATCACAAAGAGTCAGACATGACTTAGGAACTAAAACAACAACAAAATTGTAGTTAATAAAAGTTTATTATCTTAGAAAATATGTATTGCTCTAGTTGTGTAAAGAATCCTGTTCATTCTACCTCCTCTAGGGCATGGGTCCAGTCATTCTGTCCTCTTTTACCATTATCCTTTCCCCTTTTCCTCTAGATAATTACCATCACCTTAAAGATGTGCCATACTCTGACTTACTCAAAAAACTAAAAAAAATATCAAAAATTTCTTGACTTCTCCATTTCCTACAAGTTAGCATGTCATATCTCTGCTTCCCTTCATAGCAAAACTTTTTGAAACATTTATATTTGCCTCTAAGTCCCTTCTACTCCTTTCTTAAATTTCTGACCATGTTTTTGATCCTACTCTTGTGAAGTCATCAATGCCAAATCTGGTTCTACTTCATCAATCAAATGCTGAATTTCCTTTCCTCATATTTAACCTTTCAGCAGCCTTGTTCCAGTTGATCACCACTGTTAACAACACTTCCTTTATTTGGTTTCTGGAACAACAATCCCCCTTGGTTTGCACCTCACCTCTCTGGTGTTTCTTTCTTGGATGAA